ACCTGTTAAATGCTATAAATCATGCATCTTTCATGTCTCACCCATCTTCTGTTTCATTGATTATGTCACATATTTCCATATTCAAGGTCCAGTCTTCACTTTGCAGTGAGCCATCTGTGGCCCTTTCTGGGAAAGATCCAAAGGCAAACTGATAAGATCATCGTTACTGCCTTTCACTAATAAGAGAATCTGATATAACATCGGCACTGATGACATTGCACTCAAATGCAAACTGCTATGCAGTATGAGCTTGCTTGCTGGTTATCTTCCAAAGCAAGCGGTCAGTTTCCTTACACATTGTCCATTTATAGGAGTTGATCAATAGTATGAATCATTTACACACATTACCTCAAGCTTTTGCTATGAAACTGGGTGTGAGAGATAAACGCAGTGTCAACTGGCTAGCAGGCTAATACCAACTGGTAAGTGAGAGCAGTATTTCATCTTACTTTATGTGTTAAGCATGTCGCCTCCCTTTAATCTGTAACTTAATTAAGTATATTACTATTTTAAGAAGCACATATTGAGAGGTAACTGTAAGTTAGACCAGCTAGCATGAATGAGCATTAGCTGTTAGCCAACTGACACGGCTATCCATATGTTGAGTTTCTATAAAGCGGTTTCGCTAAATGCATCGCTTTAGGCGTCAACTTGTTACGACACCATTTTTAAGCATCATTTAGTTTCTGAAAAACATACCAATGCACTGTCCCACCGGAGTACTGTATGGGTTTCCCAGCAAGAACTCCATCTTGTCAACATACCCAACGACTAACAGTCAATAAGACAGTAAACACTCAAGCCCCGCCCATGGGTGACTCCCATTGGTCGCGTAATTCAGGGCAGCAAAGCTATTAGCCGAACCTGCAGTCCGCTATTGAAATGACACGCCTGCTAATTAAAGGGACAGCAGTGATTCCGTTGACATGACTGTTTTATACCGCGGGTTTGATATTTTATTATTAACGGTTATGTATCAGATTGCCCTTTCATACTATGCACTTAAAAACATATGTTTTAATGTGTGACTTTGACCTTAAGGGAACTGCTTGAAAACCATGAGACTGGGGTTGGTAAAAATAAATTTTAATAAATAAATTTAAACTAATTACAAAAAAAAATTAGACATGCACATGATTACAATTTTTCAAAACTTGATTTACTTATTTCCAACTTATTAGCTAAACCGTTTCACAGCTTTGACATTAAAATACTGGGATTTTTTTATTTAGTCTTTCCATGTGGCAGCCGTTGAAACTAAATTAGACATCTATATTATTACTCAAAACATAACTAGACAGCAACAGCATTTTACTGGTTAGGTAACTGGTGTCACTGCAGCTTACTAATATATATATATAAATATATATAAACAAGGACAGAGAACAAAAATCTATTTTTTCAGTCTCAAACAGTGCCTTTTTGGCTTTATCAGTCCTGTAAAATTTTTCTCTTGACAGCTGTGCTTTCAGAAGACATATGCACAAACATTGCACCAGCAGCTGTTCGTGCTTGCAACTCGTACATGTCATAATCATGGGCCCATTCCACATTTCCCCATCTCTGGATCTAAGACAGAACAGAACATCATTACAGTAATCATTAATATGGACAAAATGGTACAAAGCAATTATTATTAAACAGTCGGAACAAACTAAAAGCTACCATACCTGGTATTCCTCCTCAAGTCTGGACAGGACAACCGCTTGTTCCACACTGAGGTGTCTGTCAATCAGCCCAAAGGACAAGACCAGCGATTTCAGCTGAGTGATCACATACTCAAGCCCTGCAGAAGCAAAAAAAAAAACCCTGCACTGGTTAAACAGGCCTATTCACATAAGATGCAAAATCAATCTTATGTAAAAATGTCAATTTACATAAAATGCAAAAGCCACCATGGTATCTTTACCTGTCAGAGACCATAAATTGTAGGAATTAAGGTGCTGCTGAAATGTCTCTTTAGTCTCCTCTGGGATTTGAGGGCCCATTATACTGGAGGACGAGCCAATTACTACATTGTACCTAAAAATAACAAGATGTTCATATACACCATTTTGTGGCTATATATTGTGTCTATTACATAATCTAGCCGAAATGTGTAAATAATCTAGCCAAAATGACCTTTGTTCTATCCAGTTCATTACAGGGTCCCATTCATTTCTCTGAAGTTCCACAAGACCTGGAGGTTCTTCTACTCTGTAACTACAGCAAAGGTATCTGATTTAATGAAAACATAAAACTATAAACAGACGTATTAGATGTAAATCTAATACCATTGACCATTACTGCAATTACATAACACAATAATGTTATATAAATCTTGGTTTAATTAATTAAATGCCATCAAGTGAGCCTCAAAATACCAGATTGTGTCAGTCTCCAAAAACTTAAGAGCTGCTGAGATAATTCGTTCCTTTGTCCTTTGTGTTGGGTTATCAAGCGCGGTGTTGCAAAGGGTGGTCTGTATGGATGGAAATAAGTCATATTAGCATATCTACAATTTGAATCAAACCATGCCATTTTTATAAGTACAGTGCTTTCCACAAAATATACAGATTCAAATCAGCTTTAAATAAAATTATGATGTTAATATTTATATCTTCATGCATTATAGTCACATTAAGCAGTTTAGAGCAGGATGATAATATAGTTCACATTTTGTGATGCATCGCTTTATATGAGTATACTGTATGTATGCAGATAAAGTTGGATGTATTCTATATCCCACTTCAAAAATATCACTGGCTGGTAATATAATTAATATATACAATTTAGGAACTCTAACTTTATTTAATCATAATGGCTTACTAAGTGCATGGTGTAAAACTTCAGTGTGTCCTCCTGAACGTCCCACTCTGTCGCAACAGCTATGGCAAGAGCTTCATTAGGCACTGTGAACAGCTTTCCACCTGGAGTCTTCAGCTTTTGCTTGTCAAGGTTTATTTCAAACAGGCCCCCTGTAGACAACACAAAGAGTAACTTCTTTTTCTTGCTGAAAAATTTATATTGCAGATGTGTGTTATATGGGCACCAACACTGAATGATGCTCACCTTCACCTTGAGATAGAGACATTCTCGTAGAACTTCTTTCTCTCTGCAAAACACGATCAAAAAGAGATTTCTCAAAAAGAGATCAAGCATCAATACAGTCATGGCCAAAAGTTTTGGCAGTGACATAAATTGTGTTTTGCAAAGTTTGCTGCTTCAGTATTTGTAGATTATTTTTCCACGTTTCTATGGTATACTGAAAAACAATGATAAGCTTATCAAAGTTTTAAAGGCTTTTATTGGCAAAAAATATATAATGAGTCAATATTTACAGTGTTGACCACGAGGCTGAATTTAGCTTCTTATTCACAGCTTTTTATTGATGCTCAGCCTCGTGTGTTGACCCTTGTTCTTCATAACCTCTGCCGTCGGAAGGGAGCTTCATCAGAGAAAATAACTTTGCACCAGTCTTCTGCTATCCAATCCTTATACTTCCTGCAGAATTTCAGTCGGTCCTTGATGTTTTTCTTGGAGAAAAGTGGCTTCTTTGCAGCCCTTCTTGACACCAGGCTGTTGTCTACAATTATCGGAAGCGCTTCTTCCCTCCTTTTATAGCAATCAGTCTGCTCTTACAATCGAATTAGTATGATAGTGACTTTACCTGATTAGTACTCGTTCACATGTGCTGCTGATATGATTAGTCAATTAATGTTAGCTGGTCATTTTGTCTCAGGATCAAAAAATTATTTTGTGAAAAGTTCATTTTTTGGCCAATGAAGCTTTTAGCAATTATTTAAAATGCATCTGATCACTCTACACAATAATCTAGAAACAATGTGATTGAACACCACAACAGCTTAAGCAGCAAACTTTGCAAAACACAAAATTTATGTCACTGACAAAACTTTTGGCCATGACTGTACATTAGATTTGTCCTTCTATACCTTTCTGTAATGATCTTACCTGTTGTGGCACTGGCATATTTTGCCTTTTGTAGGTGTGTTGATAAACTAGGAACATGCTGCCCTTGAGGAAAAGAAAATGGCGAAATGACCTGGCCAAACTGCCTTTGATACCTACAAATATTCCGTAACATCATTTGTTTAAAACGCTATTCTTATTAACGTAAGAGTGCTGAACCATTAGTCAAGGTTAGATAACGTTAGCTGGATCAGGCGCTATAGCCAACTTGACAAATCATCGTTCACGTTTTAGTAATAACAGAAAAACACAGATATTAAGTACAATCAAAGCTAACTCAATTATTTAAGAGCAAATAAATACTTTCACTAGAGATGTCACAGCATGCGGCAAGGAGAAACCAAGTGTGAAGCTGATAACTGTGACCTACACAAGGATCGTAAAGGACAATTCATAATAAAAGTCCTTAAAGCTCCAATTGTAGGATTTGTTTTACACCGATGTCGATGTCGCCCTTTTTGGTACAGACACACACACACACACATATTGTCCCTTTCCGTATAATCGAATTTAGTGTCTTTTTATATTTTATTTGCTTTCTGTTTTTTTATTTGCTTTTTGTTTTATTTATGAAAATATTGATTTATAACATTAATATTTATAGATTACCATAGAATTTAATAGATTCCCTTTTTTCAAGATAATTTTATGAGACTAGATAACTTTTTTTAATCTCCCAACATTTTACAATAGTATAGCCACCAAGTGGTAAAGACGATAAAAAAAATCTACAAAATTATAATGAAATTAAAACACACACACACACACACACACATGTTGGTTGGGTGAGGCAGGGGCGTAATTTCCACTGGGGATAAGGGGGACATGTCCCCCCCACTTTTCAAAATTCCGTTTGTGTCCCCCCCACTTTCAAATTCGTTTGTTATTATTTTTTTAACCGCACGCCGTCATCGCCATGGAGGAGCAGGAAAGTCATTGATTCAATGATTCATTCATAAATACAGCCTCTTGCTTCCTTACTGAATGAACGAATGACTCGATGGCGTACGCTTTAAAACAGTGACTTTCCGCAAATCGAAAACATTTCCCCGCATGCCCCCCCCACTTCTCAAACCAAAGTTACACCCTTGCCTCTGGCCTAATCACAGCCATGCTGATATAGAGCCGGTATCGCTCTCGTACTCGA